TTAATCTGAATGACATTTGAGGGCGAAACTAAACTACTTGCCAAACAAGGGAAGACCCGCAGAAGCGGTCCCCCCCGCGTGTAACTGATTCTGACAGAAGCACAAGCACCCCCTCCCACTGTCCATATGACAGACAGACGGCTACCTTAATTACGATGTCGAGTCGGGACCATGACATCCATTTGGGGGGATATCTACCATACATCAATCTTAAGAGTGATTTAAAGCGTCTTCAAACTAAAGTTTTTTTTATTAAAGTGGAGGGTATCTTATAGTCGTTTAAAGTTATTTTTCATAACCCCTCACTCCCCTGTAGCTTTAAGTCCGCAACGTAAAGCTCACATAGTAAATACAACAGCAACAAAATGTACAGTAAAATGTCCCCCAGACACCAACAGAAGAGAGCACACACACTTTAATAGCAGAGCAGTCGAGTCGCAGTTTCTCTCTCTCGTGCTCGCGCCCTCTCTTCGGCATGCACGATCATGTTCATAATGCTCGCTCTGCGCTCGCACTGCGGGCGATGCTTATCAGCAAATACGAAGCACTCGGTGGAAGAAGAATAACAACAGAATAACCAACGGGACTTGACTTTGCTTTGCTGCGTGGATTTCATTGAAAATGAATTTATGAATGAAGTTAATTTTTGTTGGTTCACCATACACATAATACATATATATTCTTAATACCCTATAATTTGTAGGCTTCTACATACATATGTATGTATGTACATACATGTACATGTATTTATGCATACATACCATACATGGCACAAACGCTTCTGCCGATAAAAATCAAATTAAAAACGCAGCAGCAACAAAAGAAAAACGGGCACAAAATTATAGAAACCAGAAAAAAGCGGCAGGCAACAGACCATTAAATCAAGCCACACAAAAGGCCATAAACGGCGCGGATTGTGCAAAATACCCTTGCCAAAATGGGCTACATGATATCAACTAACTGTTTGTCATGCAGAAGAGGAAACTCTCTTTTTCTATGCAAAGTACATATTTACATATGTATGTATGTATTGTATGTAGTCCTATTTTCGAAGACATTTCATAGTAAATCTCGTATTTAAAAGCAGAAAAATCTATTGAATAATTTTGTAAAATATCTGTAAGAGTATCTTATAGGTCGGCCTATAGAGCCACTCCCTTTTGGTTTTCCATTGACGATAAATGCACGGCCAAAAGAGGAGGAAGAGTGCTTTTGGCCGCAGACAATTTTGCAATTTAAAACAAATAATTTGTATCTAAATGTGTGGGCTAACACACACACACACACACACAGTTGGGCCATTTATGTAGATTGCATATGGCAGATTAGGCCCGTTTCCCCACCCACACATGCCCCATGGAAAGGGAGGGCCTTCTGGCCGCACGCTGATAATGCGGGGCGGCGCATTCCCTTTGTCTCGTCTCTAATTTCGAATTGCGAAATTTATTTATTGTTGATTGCAAATGAAACGAATACAGAAATCGTGAATATACTCATGAGCATTTTGATATGGGTTTAGGCGTCTCAAAGGGAACTAAATTAAACGTGCAAGTGGGGGCTGGGGGCTAAGGGCGGGTCTCCAATTAGTGAAAGTGTCAATTATTTGGCGGTTCATCTTACAAAGCAATCGGTTAAGGAGGCTCTGATAACCACAGGAATATGCATGTAATTCCCCTTGAAGAATTTACTACGATGTAAAAACTTTAACCTGTTGAAAATAAAGCTTAAACCGATGTCGTGGGGCCAGAGCCACTATTACACAAGTGCTCGCTGGGGCTTGCAGGCTCTGAGCTGAGGACCGACCGGACATGGACACGGGATTCCGGACACCGGACACCAAATGCAATTTGAGTCAACTCTTGTCGGGTTTCGCTTGCCTGAACAACAACACTGTGTGGGTGTGTGTGTGTGTGGGTGGGCGGCCTGGAGGCACAAATTTTGAATGTGCCAGAGACCGCAGGAGAGAGGACAACCGACAACCGGCAACCGACGACCGACGGCAGCGATGTTGGGGCTTGTTGTCGTAAAAAGCCAAAAATGGGTTATATATTCTAGGCACAGACACAAAAGCTGCGTTGACAAGGGGGCCGGGGCCACCTACGAAACAAGAGTTGAACTTTTGAACCCCAGAGTTTCCCCCCCACACAGTCCCCCTCCAGCACGCCACATCCCTGGGACCAAGCACACTTTAAAGACAGGGGGCAACGGCATGGAAACTAAAACGAGTCGGGTCTCTCCCCTGCCTCTAGCTGCAGGAATTTACCAAAAATTACTGCAAAATTTACATAATTTTCAGTCAAGTTTTCTTCGAGCGACTGTATGTGTATGTGTGTGGTGTGTGTGTGTGTTTTGTTTGTATGTGTATGTGCAGTGGCTGTGGAAAATGCTCATAAATAAATGAACATGGAACATGGAGGGAAATGGCCAACAGCCTAGAATGCACTCCATCGCTCTCTTCGCTCCCCCCTCAGCACTTTCTATCCCCCCCCTCCCTGTGACTCTGTGTTCTGGCCAAGTCATTGGCCCTTCTACTGAATGTTGTGAGGGGGGGGACATTTATGGGGCGCGTTGAAACAGCACAAAATAACATGAAATAAATAATAACTTTTTCTGCTTTCGACTATCCGGTTTTTTTTTTGCCCGTAGAGTCGAGAGTCCCGGAGTCCCGAGACTCGAGTTAATTAAAATTTAAAAGCCGCCGCCGCACTCGTGCGGCAATTGCACATCCAATTGCCATGTTCGGAGTCGCAACACAATGTTGCAGCAGCCGCAGCAGCAGCAGCAGCAGCAGCAGCCGCAGTTGTGCGACTCTAACGGTTACTTTAATGGTTAGTGGTGCGCTGCCATAACCGATTCTGCTGCTGCTGCTGTTGCTGTTGCAACTGTCATTGTAAGTGTTACAGTTACAGTTACTGCTACTGTTATGGTTACTGTTATGGTGTCGTCAGTGGCAATGGCGGGGGTTTTCGGTGCTTGTTTCGAGTTGAATATGATTTTTGGGAGCAGGCAAAATGGCAAATGGCCTTTCGTTTCATTAGCCGCTGGCTCAAGAGCGGATCAGCACGGATTTCGAGGGACGATTTTTTAACTCAAATTAAAATTTTAAATTTAATAAACTGCATCGATGAATATCCTCTATCATCTAACACATGAAACTCAGTACATTTTTATTCCTAGGTATGCCCATAGTCGTTTACTGCGATTTACTTTTTAAAGAAGAACTCTGGGAAATTGTTTTTCCAAGCGAAGAGAACAAATATTTGTGCACATTAATGTCGGCTCGCTCGGCAGCTGTCATTGTTTACGGGAATATGTGGCATTCGGTCGCGTAACGGGCGGTGGTGGGGGGGTAGGCAATGATAAAGCGCTCCACCCCCCCGCCATCACTGACAGGTTAATAATCTCGACTCGATAATCGACAGTCCTCCAGGACGACCCGTAGCCCCAGCCAAAGGACACGGACAGAGACAAAGGGCCGAGAGCCAAGCCCAACGAGTGACAGCTACGATAACACGCACACAGGCACACACACACACACACCTAGATGCCCAAAGATGCCAAAGAAGGAGACCAACCTCCGTCTGTGTGTGTGTGTGTCCCAGTGTGTGTGAGTGTGTGTGTGTGAGCTTATTAACGTGCCGCAGACAGCAATTGGGGAATTCCTGGGAAAATGCCTTCCGCCTTATCAGTGCGATCTCTGCTCTCTCCCCTCCCCCTACACCAACCCCCACCAACACTCTCTATCTCTTTGCCGCCGCACTGCTGATTGGCAAATATTTCAATTATTTTTTCATTTCGTTCAGCAAGAAATGTGTCAGGCAGGCGGCACAGCAATGAAACAAAATTCGAATCCAAATCCGAATCAAAAAACAAAAACCAAAAAAAACCAAAAAAAAAAAAAGGAAGAATAAAACCAAGCCAAACCGAACAGAACACAGCAGAACAGAGCAGAACATTTATAAATCTCATCCAGCAAATACAAAGTAAAATGCTTCGTTATTTATGGACCTTTCCCCATGCTGTTTTTGCTCTCTGTCCCCTCCCTCTCTCTCTCACTCACACTTGCTGGCTTTCCTTTTGTTGGGAAATTGTCAGGCGAATGACACACATTTTTTTGGGTGGCTGTGGGAGTGGGGAGCAAGCGACAGAGAGCGTGAGTAAGAGACGGAGAGACGAGTGGTTAAAGTAGAAAAAATGCAAAATAAAATCATAAATTTATTAAAATGCAGCAGCGGCTACCAGTTTTCCCCCCCGCCTTTTCCTTCACCCCGCTGTGAAAATACATTTTCATATGTATGCGATGAAATTTACATGCAAATTTTTAAAACTCAAACCAGAAACAGAAACTGAAACACAGAAACTCCCACACAGGGACACAGCGGCACTGGAACAGTGGGACAGATGGGCGGAGTGTGCGGAGGGGGGGTGGTGGGTGGTGGTGCTGTGGCGGTATATTTGACATATAGCCGCGTCGGTTTTACAACGTCATTTCTGGTTTTGTTGAAATATTAAAATGGATGACACACAGAAAATGCATATGCCCCAGCGACAAAAACAAAAAAAAAAATACATACGTGGGTTCAACGCGAGAGAGAGAGAGAGAGGGGTAGAGTGGTAAAGAGAGAGGGCGGTTTGGGTGGGGAAAAATACACACTTTTAGCGCTGACAAATATTTGCTTAATCGATTTACTATTTGTTGCAAAACAAACCATAATGAAGGGGCATTAATAATGCCTCGTCGCACCGCCCCGCGTTATGGGGCCTTAATGCCTCACTCAAAGATTCATGAGGCCGCCAAAGAAGAGTTGCATATGCACATATGTACATACATATGTATAAAGTTATATATTGCTATGGAATATGGAAGTGCCCTATGTATGGCATTTTGGAGTAATATAATAATTGTATTTGTATCAGACTATCATTAGGAATAAATAAATTATACAGAGTCTGAAAACATTTCATAAATATTTTTGTTTTGCAGATCTAATCGGCAAGGGTCCTTGGTTTTCCCCGGGGTAAGTGGCATAATTCTTATAAAAATTCTTCAGTGGACTTTGGTATTCGTATCATGTGCTGTTTTGGTGTGTGTATAGGGCATCCTTCAATTGATTTCACTTGAAGAATACTCAAAGAATAAACCTATTAAAAGCCACTACGAAGGTTCACAAAACTCCCCCATGCACACCCATGGACTACTCGTATGTGGAGGAGGGGGATACTCGTATTTCATTGTGTATCATCTTTGCCCAGGTGGCACCTTAAATCGCCTTCAATCAAATAACTCTTCAAAAGTGCAGGCGAAACTTTATCCTTGGTCCAAGGAGACATACAGAGACAGAGAGACAGAAAGAGAGAGAGGGCGACAGTGTGTGTACTCACTGGTCGGACCAGAGCCAGTGTTGAGAAAGTTCCGCCAGTTACGCCTCCGATGTTTGGCTTTGATTTAACATTTTGTACGTTTACTTTACAGTTTAACTGGCGGAAAACGCACGACACGCCCCCCCCACAGGCCCACATCCTCGTTCAGTCTCTCACTCTCACATTCCCCCCCTGCCACCCTGCACAGTCCACACATTCCTCTTGGCTGGCCCATCCGCCTGCATTTTTCTACACTTTCACATTGGCAATTTCATTTGGCCCATGGGTCGCCCTGGGAGTTCAAGCTGAAGGCAAAGCTGATGCTGAAATGTGCTCGCTTTCCCATCGACTTTAGCCTGTTTTTTCCCCATGTTTATACCCTACAAGAGGGTATGCCGAATGTGCAGCGATGTTTGTAGTGCCAATGAAGGGATCTGGCAATGCTGGCGGTTTATGCCTAATGCCTATAATTGCATCATCTATCAGCCATCTAATAGACCCTTTCCTAGGGTATCTAACACTTCGTCGTTTCCGTTGCAACCCTTTCGTTCTAGTTGCTTGTGTCCTGCCCCAACCCACCCCACCCCACAATGTTCTGTGTCCCCTGTGTGGCAGGCTACTCTACCGTGTCCTGTCCTGTTCTGTTCTGTTCGGTTCGGTTCGGCTGTGGCATGGTCCAAAGTAGTGCTGCGCGCGTAACTTGACTTCGACTTGGACCTGTTAGTGGAACTCGAACTGGAAACTAGAGCCACGCCACAGATGAAGTTTCCACCCACCTCGGACGACTCTTTCTCCCACATTTTGCTACTCATTCTCCTTCCTTTTAGTACTGCTGCCGCTGCTGCTGCGGAAGGAAATGGAAGGCAAGGGAAGGCAAGGGAAAGGGAGAGAGTTGACAACTTTTTTGCTGTCGCCGCGTTGTTTTAGTTTCAGCTTTTTCTGCTTCACTCTCTTTTTTTTTCTTTATTTTTAGTAGTATTTTTTTTGTTTTCCTTTTTCTGTTTTTTTTTTTTTTTTTGTATTTTTTGAAGTGTAGTTGGTTTTAGTTGCTCCGCGATGTTTTCATTTTGTGCGCTCTCTGGCCGATCCCCCTGCTGGCCCTTCCCTGTCCCTCTTTCGTAGCATTCTCCTTGGTTGCTCGACACAAAGTTAAATGCTTCTATGTCGCTGATGCGCAGCCGGGCGGCACAAATGCGAAATGGCTACAAACAATTTGAAGCAATAAAATAAAGAGAGCATATGAACACAGAGAGTGGGAGGATGTGGGTGGAAAACTACTCCCTAACTATCACCACCCCCCTCCACTGCCCACTGCCACACCCCCCATTCAAGTGCAAACTCCTAAAGCACACAATATCTGCAGAATAAGAGCGAAATTGAATTGTAAAATTGTTATTGTCCTTTGAAGTGCTGACTGTAGAAGGGACTCCTCTCCACTCCCCACTCTCCACTCTCCACTCTATGTACGTACATGTGGGCGTGGCATTGGGTGGAATGTCGCGACTGGCCCTTCGTTTATGATTGCCATATCCGGGGATCCATATCCGAGCAGCTTCTCCGCATTCAAATCTCCTCCGCTTCACAATGGCTTCACATGGAAAGCCACTCTCGCTCGCACTGCCCGCCGCACTCGCTCGCAAGTTAATCAAATTTCGAAATGCCCGCGGGCTATGGGCGAGAACTAAAAGGCTGTGGGCATACCCTGTAAGAGAACGCTACAGAGAAGGGGCAGAGAGGAGGCCCCCACGAATACATACTAGGATATAATTAACTTTCTTTTATGACGGCTCTCTCCCTCTCGTCCAATTAGAAAAGTGCAAGGAATGTCGAGCAGATTGCAGCATATTCGTGTAATAACCCCACAGTGGACCATAGCAGGCCATAGAAGCGTATAGAAGGAGAGAGAGGCAGAGTTGTGGCATGCATGGACGAACTCCTGCTGCTGCTGCTGCTGCTGCTGATGCCACATCAAAGCCTTCTTCTGCACAGTTCAGTCGAATTTTAATTTGGGTTTTGTATGCAAATTACCCCCCAATGTTGTACAACAATTGGCACACACACACAGAGAGACACAGAGAGAGAGAGAGAGAAAAAGATTTTCGGGGCATATTCTTTGGCCGACAAATTGTTATGAATGTGCGAGTGGGTTGCCCTGTCCGGATGCACGGATGTGCGTTTCGGTTTGCTTCCTGTCCTGCAGCCAGGCCCCTCCCTCTGGCCCCTCAGGCACCTCTGGCATGTGCAATTGCAAGTTATTCGCACAGAGCCTGTTGGCTGTTGGCTGTGGCTGCCACGTGGCTTTGTGCCATAAGCCCTTAAGGTTCCCCAGTTGCTGTCCATCTTTATCCCCTCTTACGACCAGCGGTGTGTGTGTGTGTGTGTTGTGTGTGTGTTTGTGTGCTGCCAAAGACTTAACGTTTATGATTAGGAGGACTCAAACACCGGGCTTTCCCTTGCCATGTGAGCTGCAGGTGCGGCGTTGTTCCCTTGAATCAATATCCATTTATGTTTCATCGACAAACAGACAGACACACAGACAGCCCTGCTCCTCCTCCTCCACCTCCTCGTTTATTTAGCATAAATATAAATTTATTGAAAAACTTTGCGTTGATTTTAATGTTTCCCTTTGTTTTTTTTTTTTTGTTGGTTCTCACAAACTTTAAATGCAACACAAATATATTTTCCTGGGGGTAAACTTTTTCATGGCTGCCGCTGCCACTGCCGCTGCTGCTGCTGCTCCGTCGCCTTGTATTTTATATGAAAAGTTTTTTTGTTTGTCAATTTTTTAATTTCGTTATATCTTCTTTTTACCGGATGCCCCACTCTACCCCGCCCCCTGTATCATGGCCAGAGCATGTGTGCTCTACGAAGTAGTTTCGTGTGTGTGTGTGTGTGTGTGTGTGTGCTTAAAGTTGCTAAAGATAAACTTCCGCCTGTTTGTTTGCATTGCGAGCAAAGAAAAATAGAGAGCAAGAGCTGGAAAATGTTGCACCTTCAATTGAAACGAGACAGAGAATACTCCCAGAGAAATGGCCTGCCTCAAATATAAAGGAATTAGGATTAGGTTCTGCTTCCATTGTTGTGTGCCATCAATTGGGCCACATCCCAAATCAAAGCTAATTGGAGTAAAAAACAAAGCAAATCCTGTACATTTGTGGCTTCTCTTTCGACCGATAAGTCGGCATAGCTTTTGATTTAAAGCTGCAACATTGTTTAGGTATTTAAATATTTGGCTTTTCCCTGCGCCTCCACCCTCCCTTTCTGTGGCTTTTTCCCAAAGATTTCTTGCCGCTGCTTGACCCAAAAGCTCAAATGTTTTCCACAATTTGACTTCTTCTAAGCAGCAACAATAACAATTTAGTTATGCAAATCCAATCCTGCCACAAGAGCAACAAAAACAACAACAGCCAAAGATTAATGAAAAAGTTTTGTGGAAGATTTGCGATTTGCTGGGCATGGAATTAAAGAGCACCTACCCTCCCCTTCCCTTGCCCCTCTGGATCGCCTCTCTCTCTTTAGCATACGAAACGAGACGAGGCCACGCACGAGAGGAGCGAGCGCTGACAGCAGATGCCCCTGGGGCAGGTGGAAGGATAATGCAGAGGCCCAAAAGAGGCGGCTGGGTACCCAGCCGCCTGTTTATTTATTTATTATGCGGCCAACACTAAAATGTAACTAAAATCAGGGGCACTGTGTAGCCTGCCAACACAGGATGTCTACACATGTCGCTCCTCCAGTGATACATCGCAAAATGAGGGTTTGGTGGCGGTGGTGTGGGGCGTGGGCCCAGCAGAATCGAGTTGACGTTGACGCCACTTTGATATATTATGCACGCTTGAGGCCAGCAACAAATAATCAAGTATCAAATTCCACACGGAATGCTAACGAAAGAGACCAAGACCCGAAACCCGAGATTCGAGACCCGAGATCCGAGACCCACAAGGAGCAATTTTTTCCATGCCACACAGTCACAGCCACAGCCCACAGCCCACAGCCCCCCAGCCAGGTCTTAAGCTGTCAGCCGCCACATAGGGGGCAGAGACAGAGACAGAGGCCGCAAATTTCGGCTTGAGAGAACGGGGCAAAGACAAAGCTGTGCCTCATCTGCTTGCCACCAGGTGGTTGGAAGGCCTGTCTGCGGTCTCAGTTTTTAGCGCGCGTGTGTGGCAAATGAACAATCAGAAATGCTCGTAAACGAAGGCCAAATGATGTAGGACACAGAGCAATGACAATCTGCTGGCAGCCAACCACATGGCAACATCTTTTGGCCCGCAAATAGCAGCAGGGTCCAAGGACCAGGGGGGTCCAGGGGCAGCAGGAAATTCTAAGCCGATTAACAAAGCATAATAGTTGTCAGTCAGTTGGAGACCCAACAATGGAGTTGCTTTTTCCAGAGAGAGAGAGCAGCAGGGTAAAGTTGTTTGATTTTTCTTGCATTCATGTGGCATGTGGCATATGGCAGTGGCAGCAGCCACTTGCCTTACAGCCGAAAGTATCTTTTGTCCTGTTCTGTGTGGCATTTGCATGGAAAATCCCATAAGTCAGACATGGAGATTCGAGTGCGTAAAAGTGTTTTTGTCTCTTGTAGTATTGTAGCAGCAGCAGCAGCAGCAGCAGCATTGGTTGGTATTGTGACGCCTAACCCGCTAAGCTTTATTTGCTCATTAGTGTGTCTGGCTGTGTGCGTCTCTAGTATCCAATTGGAGATATCAAATACAATTCCCCCAGCTCCAGCCACCACCCCTCCCACGCAAGCAGCTTAACCTGTAAGCCAAAAACAATTCCCCAAGCGCTCTCTTTCGCTCTCTGAGTGCTCTCTCTCTCTCTGTCTGTCTGTGTGTCTGTCTTGGGCAACTGTCGGATGTAATGAGTGCAAATAAATTTCAAGTAGGCTTAAAATTTTCCACTTTTCTGACCTGCAAATTGCCCCAACCCCAAACCCAAGCCCCAAACCCCAACCGAACTGAAGCAAAGCGAAACGAAACGAACCTCTGGCCCCTCTGGTGCTGGCTGTCAGTGCTCCTTTTGCTCCTTAATATTCAATGTAACCGCAGAAATTCATATACAAAAATAACACGAGCGTTAAGAGGGGCAAAAAGTGCCATGAATAAACGAGATGGCAGATACCCGCAACGAAGAGTGCAGAGAGGAGAGTGGAGGGGCAAAGTACACAGAGAGAAAGAAGAATGAGGATGAGGATGTGGCAGCCTACACTGCGAGAAAGGAAGGGCAATTGAAATGAATTCTATTTAACATTTTTTGGGATGGCAAAATATTCTCGTATTCCCCTATCTCCCCCCTCCGTTTTTCGTCTGTTGTTTTTGCTTTACTTGGCTTCCACCCCCACCACCGCCCAACGCGCACAAAGCAACAAACAAACAAAAAAAAATATACAAAAATATAGTAGAAATCACAAGGAGGAAGAAGGACGGCGGACGGCGGACGAAGGACGCCCGCCCACTGATGGCGCGCTGCCTTTTTGTGACGCACTCGAGGGCCCCGATGATAAATGTCCCTCTGCAAAGCCATGAAATGAATGAAGTATGGCCACGCATTTTCTATACGGCCCCAAGGCAAACAACGGTATAAACAGAGCAGAGCCCCATAAAGAAAAGCCACCAAAATGCGGCGAAAGCGGGGGGAAGAACGGGGCGAAAAAGTCACACAGCAAATGGAGTGAGGCATCGGTGGTTTCCTTTGAAGAAGAAACAGAAGTAGGCTACTCCATATCAGGGGCGGCACAGGACAGAGAGGACACAGGACATGCGGCGACCAGCGAAAGCAGAGCCCAAAGAAAAGCCAAAGAAAAGCAAGGAAAATCTTGACAAACTCAACGACCGAAGAGCACTGCTTGTCATTCAACGCGCTGTCAGGCGGCGGCTTGGCTTGGCTTCCTTGCCGCTTGCATCGGGATTTTTCAACGATTTTCGAGCCAAAATCGAGGCGAAAGTTTTTACTGGACAACTGGACACACACACAGACACACATGCACAGACATACGATACGATACACTCACACACACACACACACACATATATATAAGGACATGCGACAGCAGAGGAGAGGCGACTTTTGACCAGGCCGAAAGTTGTTTTGGCTGTTTTTCCATTCTGTTTTTGTATTCTTTTTGGTTTTTTTTCTTTGGTTTTTTTTTGCCTTCAAGTTGATGCTTGACTTTGGCTTTTCCCATCTCCCATCTCCCATTTTCCCCGTTACTAAGTCGCTTCGATTTGCGTGCGTGTGTGTGTGTGTATGGGTGACGTGGGGGCGTGCCAGACGCCTCTTTTGGCCTGGTCAATTTGGTGTGCAAATTGTTTGGGTTGCCCCTGGCTCAAACACCAATAATATGTTGATAATCTGGCTAAGAAGGGTCAAGAGAAAACTTGGTCAAGAACTTACCAGCCAAAAGCAAAAGTAAAGCTGTAAGAAAATTAAGGAAAAAAACAAAATATTAAAGAAAGAAAATTAAATTCAAATTAAAGTTGAATGCATGAAAAATATATGGAAAATATTTAAATATGATAAGAACATGCAATTAAAATACTAAAATAAATAAATTTAACGTACAAATAAATGAATTACATTTGTGTTTTTTTTTTTTTTTGTAAATTAAAAGTACAAAGAATTAACTTATGCGCAAGTGCACAGGGAAAACGATAAAGAAAACTCTTTAAGTCGAGTGTCAATTTATGCTTTGCGAACAGCAGAAGAGAGACTTTTTCTAAGGAACTCAACTTTCTCTGAACACATTCGCCAACACTGAAGTTCTACACTTTTTTTCCGCTTTTCGCTCTCTCTCGCTCGGAAGACTTGAATAAGCAAATCAGTGCATTCGAGTGTGTCATGTACAAAACTCTTACCCTTTTCAAGAGTAAACTTATTTAGCTGTAGAACCAATTGCTTTGCCCAAAAGTAACTCCAACTTCAACTCCGACTGCAGACTGTTCTACGCTTCCTTGGCTGTCCCGTTGACGAGCCAACAAGTTAAGTTGGCCAAAAACAACGGCTTCCCGGCTCACTGCCTGCTGGTGCATGAGAGCCAGATCTGGCGGTAAATCTGGCGTTAAATCTCTTTGCGAAACTTGAGATATAGACAGCCGAATCGAAGTTTACACTGTTTTTGCTGGTGGGTGGGGGGGGGTGTTTTCGGGGTTGCCTCAAACTTAACTCATCAGATATGCCTCTAAATAAGCATTTAGAAGGCTGTCTGCTGCGGCTCTCTGGCTCTCCTGCTGCTATTGCTACTGCTGCTGCGGTGATGCTCTCCCAAGCAAATGGAAAACTTCGCCCTGTCTGTGTCTGTGTTTGTGCCCGTGCCAGTGCCTGTATGTGGCAGGAGCGGCAATCCAAACATAATTCCAAAGTTTTTGGCCAAAATGTTGAGTAGGTTGTTTTCATAGAAATGCGATAAATACTTTTCCAGCAGTCCGTAAGCCGCTGAGCAGCAGCAGCAGAGTTCCAAAGGAAGTGGTCCAGCACACAGGAGTCCACCACCAGAGTAAGTTGCGTGTGCTGCAAAAGTTGCCTTTGGAAAACATGGAAATGCCAAAGTGAAAAGTTTCTGATGCCGCAACAACGAAATTCAATTGAAAGCATATAAAATCTAAATTTATGAAGTCCCTTATACCCTCAAAAAACCCCTCTCTCTCTCTATCTCTCTCTCGCTCGCTCGCTGGGAAAACTTGGACTGCGGTGGCAGGGACCGGAGAAGCCTGTGAAGTGAAACAATATGCAGCCCCAGGCCCAGGGCGTTGGACCGCTGCATTGGCCTGGTCTGCTCAGCAAATTACATGCCACAAGACGTATGCAAAGGCGTATACGTGATCACAGAGATTGCTCATACGCACTGTTAATTGAGATGGATACAGATGTATGTATGTGTGTGTGGGCAGGGAAGGGTAGGGCCGTTCCGTGGATTACCCAAACGAAAGCAGACACAACCAACCGAGAACTTCTGCCCAGGCTAATGCAGTCCGCCTCTGCTCTGCCTCACTGTTCCATCTTCTTGGGCAACTTTTTGGATACTTTGCAAAGTTTTGTTGCCCTTTTTTTCGTACTTGAACTTTGGCCAGTGGCACAGCCTCCGCCAGCGCTTATTTATTAGTCGATTTTTATTATTTGATGGCCAGCAAGAAAAGTTTCTGACCAGCCTCGACCCAGAAGTAGCTCTGGCGGCAGTCGCAGTCGCAGTCACAGTCATCGAAATCGAAATCAATTTCGAATCCATAACAATTTTCGGCATAATTTCCGCACGCATAAAACCCTGCAAAATTCCATTTGCTCGATAATGCAGCGACAAAGGACGCGCAGCCATCGCTTTGTCGATCCGCACAACCCAATTTCTTTACACACAATAAACTTTATGTTGATTGAATAAAAGTTGCGTCAGGGACACACACACACACACTTGCCACACACACGGCCTTAATGGCAGTCAAACTTTTCACTTTAAATTAAATTACAGAGACACACACAGATGGAGAGCAAGAGAGAGAGAGAGAGAGAGAGTGGAAAGCACTGCTCAAAGTGGGTGGGCTGTGGTGGTGGTGTGGTGGCAGCAGCAGGCTGCAGGCAGCCGCCAGGCAAAATCAGTTTATGTGGAAAAGCTAACGAAATCAGTGCCATGTCTATATCAATATAAAGCAACGCTCAAATCGACCTGGAAAAACATACACACACACACACACACACAGATATATAGTACGTAGGAAGGGGGGGGTACACAGGTACACTTACCGTTCTCCTCCTCGATGTTGCGTGTCATTGTTGTGGAGGAGCTGACACGGACACGTGTTGCTCCTGCCGCTGGTCCATTTAGCGTGGACAGGACGAGGCACACCAGCAGGCAGCAGCAGTGGCGGCAGCAGAAAAACGAGGCCTGGTGGCCCATGGTGGCCCCTGCTCTCTCGATCTGTGCTCTGTGAGTGGTTTGTGCAGTCTGTGGGCAGAGCTTTGATGGCAGTGGTTGCCTCGGCCTTAGTACTGTGTCTCTCCTCTGCAGTTCCTTTGTGTGGCAACTTCTTGCTGCTGCTCTCCCTCCGCTCTCTTTTCACACTTCTCCCTGCACTGGAAACATTTTATTGTGCCAGATTCCTTGTCGCGTATTTGATTTAAAATTTATTTATCGCTGTAACAGCTGTGAAAGAGAGACGTATAATCAGCATAGAGAGTGAGAGAGAGAGAGAGATAGTGAGTGAGACAAAGTGAAAGAGTCATGCAACATTGGTTGACATGTCAATAAATAAAGTGAAACAAAATGAAAAACCAAAAATAAAACGAGAATAAAACGAGAATTTCATTCCACTTTTGCATATAATTGCAGTTTTACTGCCGCTGTCGCTGCTGCAAGGGGGGGACGGGAGTGGGAAATTCTATTGTGTGAAATTTATTTAATTGCCTTTATTTTCGGTTTTTGGCAAATTTGTAAGCAAATTCATTGCACTTTCAGCCTCAATCCAGCGTACAGCCATGCCGGACAGACAAAATGTAAATTTATGTGATTTTTGTACAATTTTATTGGGTTAATTTGTTTGTTTTCACTGTTGAATTTATGGCAATTGTAACGCACGTTATTTATGCGAACGAAATGTCTAATTTATGTAGTATTTTCAAACCCAATTATGGAATCAAATGCAACGCAACACAACACAACACAACACAAAGCAATGCAATACAACAAATAAATAAATACATGCATAAGTGAAATTGTTGTCATGCTTTTGTTCGCCGGATTTAAACCGTTGATTGATTAAGAGTTAAGCGCTGATTTATATTCCTAGCGATAATTGATAATGTGCCCCATAGATTGGCGTACTTTTCTGTCACATTTTTATTAATTTCCACAAGTTTTTCCATCAGAAGAGATTATTCTTTCTGTTCCAAAAAAAAAAATGCAAGCCCAGAGAGGGTTAGAGGATTTCTGAATTTTTTTTTTATATTACTTATTAAGCTATTTTTGTGCTTAATTCGCAATCGATGGATTAAGCGTTTATCTGTCGTTTTAATTTAACCAAACTGCCAGTCAACAGACACGAGAAAATGTCCCCAAAAAACCTAATTAAAGGGCTGCTGGCGTTGGCTGCCTCTCTCATATTTTGACAGCTACAAATCAGAGGCCATTTCCGCACACAGCAGCGTCACAGCAGCGTCACGTACACGTACGCGTGCACACCTCAATATTTTAAAACATATTCAGCTGGAGCAAAGAGCACAGAGCACAGAGAGGGGGGGCTTCTTTTAATTAAAGATTATTTATAACATCCACTAAGCGGAAAGCAGTGAGAAATCGGCATTTGGAATGCCGCCTGCGTACATATTTGTTATAATTTATGTGGCCCATATAAATGACTAACAACACACGCCACACGCCTCCTGGCAGACTGGCAGACAAGAAAGATGGAAGATGGAAATGCCAGGCTGCAGCAGGCAGCAGGCATTGGCAGTATGGCAAAAGATGTTCCAAAGTATCCTCGTGCGCGTGTAGATCTTTAAAGAGCGAACAGCTCGAAGGAGAAGTGTGGGGCCAGGCCAAAGGAACGTGCCACCATCAAAGTTCAATATGACGACGACTACGCTGACGATGATGCTGGAAATGGGAATGGAAATGAATGTACAGAGTGGAAGAGTGGGCGGGTGGTAGGGTAGTAGGGTAGGAGTGGTTTTGGCTAACGAGTGCGAATTTCTCTTTTGGATTTTGTGTTGTTGTTTTTCTTTTCCATCTGCTGGCGTCTGCTTTTACTTTTACGTAGCGTAGAAAAAGAGAAAGAAAAAAACTCAATAAACGATAAACAGGAAAACGGAAATCGGAAACTGTTTCTAGACTGCGACTACACTGCCACAGCCACTGCTATGACTGCCATGAGGCAGAGTCAGAGGCTGTGTGAGGCATCGACATGCTTTTATGATATATTGACTTGCTGCTGGCCTGGTCCTGGGCCCCCTTGACTCTTTATCGGTGGACACATCGCTTTTAGCCCGCCGCACTACTAATTTTATTTGCGCCGAAACGTAGCTAAAAGTTTTTGTGTGTTTTTACATTTTGTTTTTGTATAGATTTTATATGTGATGCCACAGCCGTAAATAAAATTGTGGCACAGGTCGGTCCAAGTGCTGCATGCCCTACGCTTGAGCGAGTGGTCGAGTGGTCGAGTGCCGAGGCACTTAATCATATTTTTCGAGTGTCGATTGTCGATTGTTGGCTGTGGAGTGTCGTTAATAAATCGACGGGGCCAATGGATTTCCATTTAAATAAAGTACAAGCGAGTTGCGAATATTTGTGAATTGTTTGTAAATAAAAATAAAAATAAAGTAAAATTCAATTTTATAATAAACCCCAAAAAATATACGCAGAGAAAATATTTGGATCTAATCTAAAAATGTATGCGAAAAGCACTCGCTTGCTGTGTGTGTGGAAATCCATAATTGAATCACGTGGAAATGGTGAAAGCTTTGATTGAAAAATATGCCAAATAAATGTGTGCTCTATTAAATGTACATTTCCGAGTGGCCAAGTCTCGTGGTGGGATCGATCCTTGGCTGCAGCTTGAAACTCTTGAAAAATATACAAAATTTTTTGTAGTGTCATTCGCTCCACTCTCGAATCAATTTGCACATGTGTGCGTGTGTCAGCTCTCGAATCATCAACTTTAATGCTTGGATAACACAATCATTGTTCAAATTTAATTTGGCAACAATCAATGCCACACTTTTGAGTGTGGTGTGTGTGTGTGTGACCCACAGAGGATTGTGTCTTGTCTTGGGTTGGATTGGATTGGATTGGCGTCTCGATTCCCCCCCTACTGGTTTATCTTTAATGCCTCGCACACATACAGCAAAAATCCATTTACTTTGCTGCCAAAAACTTTTGCAAATCAGTTTAGAGTCTCGGACCAAAAAAAAAAAAAAAGGAAAAAATATTGAACTTGTGTGCAGCCAATAAAATGTGACTCACATTAGCTAATGCCAGCCCAGACTCTGCGTATACGTAACCTGCTTGTGCTGCTGCCTGTACGTGTGGCAGGGAGGGTGGTCGGTGATTTTCTATGGCCATGTGGGGCAGAGGTGGCGGCACATTGTGCCAGTTTTGCCATTGAGGCATGCAACCAGCACGACGACGACGATCGACATGCACTTCAATTTACAAACTTGCAAAGTCAGCAAATGTCTGTGTGAGTATCTGCCCGTGTGTATCTGCCTGTGTGTGCGTGTGTGTGTGGGATGTTTTCCGGCTGCAGCTGCTGCAGCAAAGTGTGTCGACTCTTTTCCATTTCCGGCATGCAAGTTTTCCCCCCCCGTCAATCCGCTGCTGCCACTGCCTGCTTCTACTCTCGTAGTCATAATGTAATGAAGTGAAGTGTGTGTTTGCATTAAAATGCAATTTGAAGTGCAAAGAGTTACAATATTATTATGGCATATTATGGCATGTCGAAGGGCGCAGTCCTTGGATCCTTGAGGCATTCAGCGCGAGAGGTAACACTCTCCCTACTCCTGCAGCTGCAACTGCTGCTGCTGCTGCTTCCCTTTTTTTTTTTTACTGCGGTTTATGCCCGCTAAGTGAGCCTATAAAAAAGCGGCATGCATGGCTGGATGTTCAAGTACATTTTTATGAATACTAAAAAAATACTGCCACAGGGAGACCCAGACAGCGAGGGGGAGTGAGTGTGTGGGAGAGTGAGCGAAAGGTATGAATGTGGCCAGCAATCAGAGCGTTCCACACTTGGCGCCATCCTCATGCACATCGTCAGCGTCGTGTCAGCTGCCAGCTGTTGATGCTCCCCGCTCTTCCAGGAGAGGATGCTAATTGTGTGTGTGTGTGTGTGTAGGGCATGGCATACTTTACACTGCTTTAAGGAGCATGGGCATGGACAGGGGCATGCCACTTGCTTGTGACACCGCTTAACACTCTTATCACTCGAAAGCAGACAGCTGCTGCCATGACCTTACTGCGGTTGCCACACAAACACAAACAGACACACACACGCACACACACGCACACACACAAGAAGTGCCTTATGCCTGCCATTAGTTTGTTGCACTTTGTTCTGCATGCCCCCAATAATTCGGTTTGCCTTGGAGCATCGCATCGCATCGCATCGGATTTCATTTCTAAATTGCCTTCGTTATTGTTTTGGAATTGTTTTTGAATTTCGTAATTAATTGGAGCATCAGCACCCAGCAGATGAGTTTCACTGCACAGCTTAAATGTGCGATTAATGAAGCATTTCCTATGAGGATGAGAATATAATTTAGGTCCAAGTCTCCTCTCATGACGATTGTTGCCCCAGGGTTCGCTTTAAAGCGGATATTCAATGGCATTACTATTTGGAAAATGAGGAAAATTCAACCGAAAACATAAACAAATGCTAAGCATTTAGCCCATCCTAATCCACATTTTCCATAGAGCTATCCAATAGATTCCATCAAATACCATTGTGAACATGAAATGACCTTGTGCTCTAGTTTCCCCCCAACAATCGAGGGGGGTGCCCTGCCCAGCACCTATCCCAATGTGAAAGCACACACAAATTCCAGCAAAACAATTTCCCCTTGAATTTAATTCGAATATCAAATAAATTTCCATTCAATTTGCATTCCTAATCTGATTATTCATCTGGCATTCATTCGCATTCACAGATTTTGCACCTCCTGCTGATGGCAGACAATTGTAGCCTGCGCCCCCCCATGTCCCACCATACCCTTCATCTTAATCAGTTCCAATGTCCGCCTGCAGCTCAAGAGCATTATCCAGCAGAAGAGCAGAAGAGCAACCAGAGCAGCCTTTTCGAGTGGCGCATTCGACAGACAGTGTGTAATGAAATTACACGCACACTTCAGCAATTTAGCAATTTAAACAAATGTATATTCTCCTCGACAAATAGAGGGAGTGCGGGTTGGGGTTTTGGGTGCTACGAGTAACATTTCCCATTAGTTGATAGTTCGTATTTCATTCTCCCAATCCACAAACTGACCCCTCTCCAAGGCCCCCTGCCAGTCGTCAGGGGCCAGCAATTTTGCACTTATGTGTGGCATGGCATGAAATATGATGGCATTTGCCACATTGGAGGGGCCAGCAGCAGCAGCAGCAGCAAAGCAACAGCAGAAGAGGTCGCTCTCGCATGCAGTACCCAAAAAGCAGAAATAATACAAAAATGCCAACTAAAATGCTCAACAATAACAAATTTTTCGTGCAATTTCCATGACCAGAGGAGCAGCAACCAAAGCATGCAAAAAAATCCACAAAAAAAAAGGCAGGGTTATGTGATCTGAACTAGTAGATACCCTGCAGAAGATTTTTCCTCCTCCTCCTCCTCTGAGGGCCTATTTAGGCTCAGGAAAATGTTTTATCTACTTTATAGGATCATATAATCACCAGCACCTACTCAGCTCTCTCCCAGCCAGCTGCAAGTAGAGTATCAAAAGAGCAGCTCAGCATAGATGAAGTTTATTTGCTTTGCCGGCTTTGCCACGTATTATATATACATGTGTATATGTATGTATGTATATATAGAGCAACCCGCCGCCCACACCCCCAACTGAGACGCAGAATAATCCAAGCGACGCGCCATTCACAGATTTCGTGCGCTTTTCAATCGCTGGCCGTCAGCTGCCGCTGCTGGAAAATTGACTTTCATTGAGGCAAAAGCATTTGGTAGTCAGTCGTCGGGATCATCACAGTGGGGGATCTTAAATGCTTTGATTTGCGAAATTTAGATGCGATCTATGGGGCGGCAGTAACAATGACAGCGACAACAAATTGCTTGTTGCAACAACAAAACAACAGAAAAACAGAACAACAACCAAACGACGAAGAAATTTCGCTTACATTGCAAACAATTTGTGGGACACGCTGCAAAGAGCGCGCGACACTGACGCGACTAAAGACGCACTTGAAACGCACTGGAAACGCGTGCGGCGTTTCTGTTTTGGAATTTTCTGGGTGTTCGCTGCTGTTACGGCTCTGCGTTCTTTTCACATTTCCCTGCTACTATTCACACATTTTGCGATCGCATCAACCAATTTCGTGAGGCTTTGATTTGTACAGATTTATTTGGGGGGCATTCTCCAACTGGATCTTTTCTATTGCAAAACGATTGCCACACGGCACACGCACAGCCCGCAACCGATTCGCGTACAGAGACGCTGGTAAGGTATTCCCGTTAGTTCCGACCGTACCCGCGGGATCGCAAACTCTCACTGAAACGGCTTTTATGGTACACACTGTGGCACGGACGGGCACGAGAGCCGAGCATCGAACGACAGCCGCAGAGCCACAGAGCCAACAGAGCCATCAGAGCAGCACCCAAGCACGGATGCTGTGCCCCGAGTGATGGCCCCCCAACACCACCCCAAAAGCCGAGCACACTCGTCGCCAATGAGCGAGACGAGACGAGACGTGACGAGGGCATGGCCCGATGCGGTGGCGACACGAAACTGAGGCTGCTGCGGACAACAGAGCTCTGTTAGCAATGGTGTTCCTTGCCCGGCCCAAAGTAGAGTCATTTTTTATAGCGGTCTTTTGGGCATCGGTTTCCGGCTTAGTCGAGCAATCCAAGGGGATTGCCCTGCAAGTGCACCATCAGATGGATCACATCCACAAAGTTCGATCCCAAATCCACAGGGAATATGAATTATAGATGGACTGCAGCTCGAATTATGGCAAACGTCTAAACTTGTTTACATTTCAAATTAGCCTGCGGCATTCCCTGCTCTCTCTCTCTCTCTCTGGCTCTCTCGGATGCTCTCGGCTTTTTGGGAGAGCGAAAATCTCTAGAAAACTCTCTCTCTCGTGTTTGTGCTCTCGCGATGCTCTCTCGCTTGCGCAGCTTGTGCTAAAAATCAGCTGTTTTTGTGTGTACTAAAATGTTGCATCTGCTTTTGTCCGGATGCTTGGGACTCACAATATTTGACTTTGGTGTGCAATTTGACAGTTATGCTGATTAATTCTATATATCATGATGCAGGGGAATAAGCCGTAATTATTATATTAATTAAATCTCTGATAAATCTGCTTTATCTGTCAGATCTTTGCCGAACAAAAACCTAGAGCTAGCCTCAGTCTAGCAGCTATTTCCCCGTCTAATATTGTTTGATTAATAACCCTGTATCCTCCCCCCACACATGGGCGTGCTACCTGATGGCACATCAATCAAAGACCCACCTGTTGCACGGTGCAGCCATCAATCAGGTGCAGGTGCAGGTGCAACCATGCCAAGGAAATGCAAATGGAAAAGTCACGGGAAAAGCCAGTTACCATACACAGAAGAGACCGCAGAGTAGCCGACTAATCAGAAGTGCAAACTTTCGAAATTAAATTTAAAAATTATTTATACAAAATGTAAATTGTTTTTCAGATTAACAGACAGATTAACAGAAGCACACAGATACACACACACACACACGAGTGAGAGAGGTGTCTCTTTATCGCTTTACGCGCTCTTTGCAAAGAGAGTCCTGGCCAAAAGTCCTGCCGAAAACTGAGTGCCAAAATAAACTGTGAAACAAGAGCTTTTTTATGGCTGTGGCCAGGCAAAGGCCGCTGTTAACTGTGGCCCCCAGAACTAGGCCAAATCGAGAGTCTGCTTACCAGAGGGAGTACGACCCCCCCCCCCCCCACCCCGTGCCACATTGCCACACAGCACAGTATCTCATATTCACTTCTGCTGCTGCTGCTGCTGCTGCTCGTCTCTGACCCTCGCATAAAGCCAATTTCCACTTGCACAAGTGTTGGTCAACTGTTTTTTATCAGCTCGTTAACATGGCGTACAAGTTCATTTCGGTGTTGAAAGCGTGTACTCCCCCTCCCCGCACACATACCAGCAGTGCGCCCAGCGAGTGTGGCAGCTGTAAAATGAACTCCACTCCGTGGATGCTGACATTTTTAATAGCAAACACAACACGCAACGACTTTTGCACATGAAATAATGCCCCTTCGAAGCACTAAGTAGTCGAGTGGGTCCGAACACAGCCACCAAACACACAGATACAGCTGCACCATGGGTGGAAGGAATACTTGCAACATTAAATGTGTGCTTCAATCCGATGGAGAGAAGTATGGAGACGGATTCAAGGATACTTTGCTACTTTATACCAAAGAATCCCATAGATATTCTGCATCTAAAGTTAGGAACCACAGGGGAATATCATGGGTAAACAGAGGCAGCGACTCACTGCCACTATGATGACCAAACAAATGTTGGAATCGAATCTTTAGGGGGGGGGGTTTCCTTAAGCAACTGCCACCGACTGATCCACAGTGCACTTTCTAATAATCTTTTGAGTGCCGCGTAACGAATTTCCTCCACTGTTCCACGGTTCGCCTTTTCATATTTTGCAGCTCTTTTGTTGCCTTTTTTGCTGTTGTTGTTGTTGTAATGAAAGTGTTTTTTTATGAAGTGCCCGCATCCTCGCACACGCAGCATCATGCGTGTCCTGATCCTGTCCTGTCCTGTCCTGCCTGCTCCTACAGTTCCAGCTTCAGCTTCAGCTCCAGCTTACTGGTGGTCCTTCTGCTTCTGCTCCTGCCTGCTGCTTGTCTGGTTTCTCGTTGTAGCCAGTGAAATATGACAAAAAGTATGCTACAGTTTCGCCATTTCCGCATGTTGCTGTTGTTGTTGTTGTTGTTGTTAGCACTTTAATGGCGAAATAGAAAAGAAAGTCAATGCCGAGGAGTCGCCGTTCGTTCGTTCGTTCGTTGCCTGCTTGTTAGTGTATGCTACTCGTATGTGTGTGTGTGTGTGTGTGTGTGTTTGGGGGGTGTCTGCAATAGCAATAAAAATATATTTCACAAACTGCTGGTCCCCGTCTCAGTTCCCCCCACACCCCCTTCCTTGGCAGCACATCTTTGCAACCCTTTTGCATGGGAAGGGAATGGGCGGGCGGCTTGGATTTTTTTTCGCTCCCACAACCCTGTTAGCCCTCTAAAACTCACGCGTATGGCTGGCTATTGTGTGGAGCACACACACACACACACACAGAGGCATGCAAAACAAGTTGGCTACAACAAATTATTGGAAAACCCAGAAGTTTTCTCTTCTCCTCAACTCGCATGAGCATAAATATGACAATAAGCAAAAAAAAAATCGCGAAAGAAATATGTAAAAGTTGCGAACTAAAACATACCCTGTACTTATCTGGACTCTGCTGTGGGAGCTTCTTTGTGGCTGTAATAGTTATGCCATTGCCATGCAAGTGTGTAAAACAGGTGGAAAATACTCCAAATGTTGATACCCACCAAAAAAAAAAAGGTTTTTCTCTCTCAAAACTAAAAGAAACTTAAAAACTTTAAAACTCTTTTTTTTTCCTGTTAAAAGACAACACACAAAAAACAGCACGTATTAAGCTATTTGCATAAGAATTACAGAAGCTCTTCTTCTGGCCAAAATACTTAATCTTCTATTAATATATGCGTCCATCATTAATTTGTGCCATTATCCAATCACACCGAATCTATAAATAAACTTACTCTCTCTAAGTAAGCCAAATTTGAGCATGTACCAGCATACCCTTTAGCTGCACGAAGAATACCCTTTGTATAACAATCGTGGAGCTAGTAAAAATCTCGTATAAAAAATACAGAACTCGCTGCAAACTTCAGCGAAAGCCAACAACAAGCATATAAAATGTGTTTTTGTCGCAGTTTTCTTTTTCTTTTTTTTTTGCGACTGTGATTCGTATCTATATTCCTATCCTTATAGCAAGGATATATGTATGTATGTACATATGTGTGCATATGTAACTGTAACTGTATCTGTTTCTGTGGCTGCTGAAGTTATGCCACTGAAATACATTTTGCTTAACGCGCTTGAATCGTTTCTGGGACTGGTGTCTCCCTCCTTCCACTGTCCATTCCTGACTGGTGACTAGATTTTGGGGGTTTCCAGAAAAGGGAGGGGGGACTGTGGGGGGTACTGTTGTGTTTCACAGCCATAACGATTTTCTTTTCAATTTGGCTTTAGTGCGTATTTTGTTCTAATTTTATTGCACGTATTAAAATATTCTTGGCCCATGCAGCAGCACCCATTTCCCTTCCCTTCGCACCGCCCCCCCCTTTTCGAGGGCCTGTTAACACACACTTTTGTGTAGCACACACTCACTCCCAAATGTATACGGCGTATACTACGCCCATAAATAGCAATAGAGAATGGATGAATGGTGGATGCGGGTTGCGTGGTGCGTGGTGCGTGGTTCGGGGTGCTGCGGGGAGTATTCCAATTTTGAAGTTCTGGTCGCATGATAATATATTTTTTATGATATTTATGGCTTTTGATAGCTGCTGTGCCCTGTCCGGCCCTGCCCCTGGCTTTTGCTTAGCTGGCAGGCGATTTATATTTTTCGGCCAACTCTCTTTCGGCCTGCCTGCCTTTTGTTTTAGTTTTGGCTTGCCCTTTCGCTTGTTCCCTCCCCCACCCCCTTCTTGCATTTTTACGACCATTGTTGTTGCTGTTGCTGGGTGGGCATCGTTTGTGGCTGTTTATTGTTTTGTGATATCGGAATAGATCCTGCATTCAATCCATCCTGCCCTCCCCTGCCCTACCCTGCCTGGCCATTGTATGTGGTTGTCATTCTGTTGTCGTAGCTGGTCGTATTTTTTTATATGCTCACAAACACACACACACACGCATGCATGCAGGGGAAAATGCCGTAATACACGGGCATTATGCAGATTTCGGTTTTTGGTGCCACTGGAATGGCTTTCAAATATTTGCAATGCATAAAATACTTTTCGAGTGCCGGGGATTTTCATTTTGATCCACTTTTTATTCACATTTAATGCAATTCTAAAAAATAACACAAAAAAAAATATATATAGTGCAGCACCCGCCCCCGCCCCCGCCCCCGCCACCGTCCTATAGCCTCACAGCTTCCCGCTCCAGTCGGCAGCAGAGAGCAGTGCAAACAATGGAAGCGAATGGCAGCGGAGAGCGAATGGCTCCTTTCCGGTGGAAATTATTTTTGGAATTTCCTCAAAATGTGGGCCAAAAATGTTTGTCTGCCACTTTGCCAGATACTTGACGCGTGATGGTGGGAGGGAGGGAGGTAGGGAGGGAAAGTAGCGACGGATGGACGTACCGGACTCCTCCTCCTGCTGCTGCTGCTGCTGCTGCTGCTGGCAATTAAAATAACTTTTGGGCTTTAACTCTCTTCAATTTAAGACTTTGCTGAATGGTAACTTAATTTGCGCATGTGTGAGTGTGTGTGTGTGTGTGTGTGTGTGTGGGAGAACAATCTGCAATCTAGAAATTAGAAGTAGTCGTAGAAAAATATGCAAGCAAACGCAAA